ATTGTCAGGAGGGACCAGTCTCTGGAGAAAGATGTCATGTTTGGTAAGGTGGAGGGTCAGAGAAAAAGAGGAAGACCCCCAATGAGATGGATTGGCCAAGTGGCAGCATCATTGAACTCATCATTGGCAACAGTAGTGAGGTTGGCCCTGGATTGAGCAGTGTTTCGTCTGCTGTGCATAAGGTCACTATGAGTCAGTACTGACTCGATGGCACCTAACAACAACAACAAATGAAATGTCCTGGTGTGGTGCTGTGGGTTAATGAGCTGGATTGCAAAGTCAGTTTGAATCACAAGGTCAGCAGTTCGAGCTCACCAGGCGCTACTTGAAAACCCTATACAGGGTCACTATGGGTTGGAACAGACTCGAAGGCACTTAACAACAACAATAATGAAATGTTGGGAGTCCTGGTGTGGCTCTGTATGATAAGCATTGGTCTGCTAACCAAAAGGTCAGTTCTTCAAACCCTCCAACTGCTCCTCAGAAATGCTATACAGGGTCACTTTGACACTTAACGGAGTCCTGGTGTGGCCCTGTGGGCTAATGCATCAGACTGCAAAGTCGTTTGAACTGCAAGGTTGGTGGTTCAAACTCACCAGCTGCTCCTTGGAAATCCTATACAGGATCACTATGGGTTGGAATCAACTCGATGGCACTTAACAACAACAATGAAATGTCAACAATTGGGGAATTTGGGTGAAGGATACAGGGGAATTCTGTATACTCTTCTTCAAAATTTTCTGCAAATACTAATTTAGTGCTAAATAAAATGTTGTAAAAATAAGATAAAGGGGAAAAGTTGTCTCTCAGTTCAAACACCAGCAGTGTATCCCCCCTCCCTGCATCTCTCAGGCACCCCTCCAGACATGGCCTCTGTGTGCCCTACTGCCCACCAGCCCGGCCCAGCCCCGCCCCCTTCCACCCACCTGCCTCAATGGTAAGAAACATGGTGCACAAGCCTAAACCTCTCCTGACTTCCTCAGCTCCCTGATCTCACACCTATTCCCATCCTTCACCAGTTCCCCTGGACCTCACCTCTGCCCTCCACACCTGTTACCTCTTCTTTTGGGAGCCTGCTGCATTGCTCCCGAACAGGCCCAGAACCCACCTGAGACAGGTCCCTGGGTTCACTTCTCTGCTGGGCCAGAGTCCTGCCCATTGTGTCCCAGCCTGGAATGGGTTCGCCGCCCGGTGCCTGGACTGGACCTGATGATCCCCCAGAGGGGACCCCTCTGATGCACTAGAGTTTGCCCCAGGCTTTCACCCACCGTGTAGATGCTGGTGTCAAAAGCTGGGTCTACCACAGCCGGTCCCCTGTGTGCTCCTTGCCACGCTCCCTGTACTGTGTCCTGCCCCCTGTGTGCTCCTTGTCCCGTCCCTGTGCTCCGCCCCCTGTACGCCTTGCCCCGCCTCCTGTGTGTTTTTGCCCCGCCCCTTGTGTACACAGTGACTGAGTTCTGTGCTCCGAGCCCCACACCGTGTGCGATCCTCGTCTTGCACCCGCTGTGGGCTCTCGGTCATCCTTTGGTTGGCGGAGTAAGAAGCAGCTGTTTTCTTTTCCTCCAGACTGTCTCCGCCCCTCCCTCCAGTCGTTAGTGCCACGGTTCCGTCTTGGGCAGTGACCCAAGTTCCTTTCCCCCAGTGTGGATTGGGGTGGGCTGGTGGGGATCTCCAGGCAGATTCTTGAGGCAGCCTGCGGAGCTCACCTCTCCACGTTGGCGGAGGAACGGGAATGGAGCTGGGAGGGCTGGGTCTCCACCCTGCCCCTTCACACCCACTCCTTCCGTCTTCGGTTTGGTTTGTTCGGGGAGATGCATCTGGACAAGTAAAGGGTGACTAGGTGCAGCCGAGAGTGCCGGCTGCAGTGGATCAGGGGGGGCCCGGGGACGCTGGCTCTCTTGTGTGTCCGGTACAGGCTCTTCATCCTTTACCTGAGCCTGCTCCCCATATGGGGTCCCTCTGGGCAGTGGGGGACGTGATGCCAACATTCGAGGGGGGTGGCAGAGGACGATCAAGGATGCACAGGAGGAACCCGCCTCAGTGAAGGTGAATATTTACTTACACAGAAGCCATGGGTCCGAGGCCTCGAAGGCCCGGAGGCGGGTGGGGGGCTGGGGACACATGGACTGAGGAGCGCACAGGGAGGTGCTGGGGCCAAACACATGGGCAAAGGGCAGGCGTCCTCGTCCTCGCTGGTCACAGGTGCCGAGGGAGGGTCTCAGAAGGCAGAGGGTCTGGAGTCCAGCGAGAGTGGGCGGGGCGGATCTGGTTGCTTTCCAACCGCCCATCTGGAGGTCAAACACAGCGGACTGAAGCCTGGGACCCTCCTCACATGCCTACCGCAAGTCACGTGACAGGCAGACCCTTCCGATGGACTTGGGGCACCTGAGCGCGGGCTACATGGACGCGTCCCGGGGGCCAAGCAGACCTGCCCCCCAGATTTTCGGGGAGGGTGGATTGACCTACCCCAGGGGCAGGGCAGACGGTGGTCTTGGCGACGGGGCGTCACTGAGGAGACAGGGGTGCCGTACTCCCGGCGGCCTTACGGGCCTCCTCTTTCTCGCTCTTGGCCGCGAGTTTCCCTGGAGGCACAGGGTCCGCCGCCGCCCCCGCCTGAGTGGGCCCTTTGGGGTCGTCCTTGGCGGCGGTGCGATAGCTCTCCCCCCACGCCGAGGGCATCTCGGTACCGTACTTGCGGCCCAGCGGGTAGGCCCCGATGGCCGCCAGGATGCTCCGGTGGCGTTCGGGATCCATCTCAGTGTAATACATCTCCAGGGTCAGCGGCGTGCAGATCTTGTGCTGGGCACGGGAAGCCCGGGTGGGGGCCGCGTTAGGGCGGAGGTCAGGGCCAGGGGCTGGCCGGGAGGTGGGAAGGGTTGGGCTACAGGGGGGCCAGGAGTGGGGCGGGGGCTAGGGGCACCAGGGTAAGGCCCTGGGGAACATGCGAAGCTTCCAGGACCACGTTCCCGTCGGAACCGGAAGCACTCTTGCAGTCCCTGGAGGAGAGGAGGCATCCCTCCCCATCGCTCCGACCCCCCGGCTCACGCCCCGCACTCTTCCGGGAGGTCTTTCAGCCCCCAGACAGAGGGAAATAACCGAGAGGCGGGGAGGGGCGTTGTGCGCTGATGACAGGCGGGCCCTCAGTGGTGCCTGGGCCGCGGTCACCTGGGGCGGTCCCCTCTCAGTCCCCCAGAGAGGGCGCAGGGTCGGCGACTTTGCTGGGAAGGTCTCTACTGTGTCCCTCACTCCCCCTGCGCGGCCCTAGCCGCTGACCTTACCCGAAGCAGAAAGCCGTCGGGGCAGGTGAACTGGTCATACCAAATGGCCTTGTACATGATCAGGACGCAGCCCATGAGCGCCATGGCGAAGGCGATCATTCGTGCTGTGGGGAGCTGCGCCGGGGGGAGGGGAGGAGCCCGGTTGGGGTGGGGAAGTGGGAGTGGGGGGCACGGGAGGTGGGGGTCGGTCCTTGAAAGGGGAGGTCGACAACTTGCTAGGTAGATGTGATTAGGGCCCAGAACTCAAGCCCTGGGTGGGGGGGTTCTGTCCACTCTCCAGTCCACCCCATAGGAAATCCCAGGTACTCTGTAGAGGAATTGTTCAGAAAGCGGGGCCTAGGGCTTGCCAGGCCTCCGTGGTGGAAGGATCCCAATCTCAGAAATGATGGGATTCAAGGGAAGAAGTGGCAGATTCTATCATTTAAAAGCAAAGGCCGAGGAAAAAGCACACTAAAAATGAGTAAGCCTCTCCATTGAGTGAATTTCAACTCCCAGAGGCCCTAATGCAAGGCATCTGAGACTGTAAATCTTTGGGAGAAGATAGCCTCATCTTTCTCCCATGGAAAAAGCGGCTGTTGAGTTTGAAGCGCTGACCTTGAGGTTAGCAGCCTAATGCCCAACCCTCGGTACCATCAGGGCTCCTCAAAAATGAGTAAAGTTCTTGTTAATAAAATTAAGAGATAAAAAAAGAAATGGGAAAAATATTTGCCAAAAATGCAGCAAAAGACGTTAATGTATTGTACAGAAAACCACCCCTGAATGACTAAGAAAAAGACATTTGCCGTGGACAAGTCAGCACTTCGTTGGAGTAGCCACTCCATGGTCTTTGTCGTCCAGGGGGCAGCACCTGTGCTCACCAGCACCGCCGGCCAGCAAGGGGATCAGACTCAGGTCACCTAGACCCACCTGATTACTGAGGTAACTGACCCCCAGGCACCCATGGGCTCCCCATCCTCTCTCCCACAGCAGCGGCAGCAGATGGGAGTGTGAGGTCACCTTGCGCCCTTCCTCTGGGTGGTTGCAGCTCAGCTTCTGGGCCTCCAGGTCAGGGAAGTTCTTAGACTGTTCTGGAGAGGAGAGCTGGTATTCTGTCTGTGTCTTGATGACCACCTGTGGAACGAGGAAGCTAGGAGGCTGGACTGCTTGTATTGGTGGTGACCTTGCAGTGAAACTGTTTGACATCTTGGAAAGGGGACTCATGCCTGCTTGGCGCCCTCTTCTGGTCATTGCAGAAACCCTCACGCCCCTTTGTACCTGTTTCCCCCTCCTCCCAGATGTAGAGACAAGGGCACCAAAGTCATATGGACCCACTGGGGATTTCAACCCAGTCCTGGCCCTTCCCCATTAGCCCTACTATGTTCTAGAGGAGGCACATTTAATGAAACTCACCAACACCCCTCTGTTCCCAGGGTAGCCAAGGGGGCCCCGACTACCACAGGCCCTCACCTGGTCTGGGAATGGTGGTTGCAGCTGGGTGACGTCCAGTGGACTGATTAGAGGGACACTATCCGTAGAAACCCCGTCCTGGTCTCCAGGGTCTTTGCCTGGCTTCCCAGAGAAGCTACAACCCAGCTTCACCATGGTGGATTGCAGTCTTCAGCCTGGAGTGACGACAGAGATGGGGCTACTCCTCACAGGTCAGTAGCTCCCTGCCTCTCCAGGTGCCCTGGCTGATGCTGTGGTCCTCCCTCCTTAGCAAGTCCACCCAAAGTCTTCTGTGCCATCCTGCCGGCATCACTCCACTCCTGGGCTCTATTGCTCCAAGGGAAGCGCCTTTGATTGGTAACTGCCCAAGCAAACAACCAGGAAAATCTTCCCCACAGACAATGAGGGGGACCAGATTCAGCAAAGAGAAATGCAGGACACTCAGTTAAATTGGAATTTCAGATCAATAACAAATCATTTAAAAAAAAATATAAGTACATTCCATGTAATATGCAATTTTGGAAATATTTATGCTAAAATAGGATTTGTTGTCCATCTTAAATTCCCTTTTAGCTGGGCGTTCTATGTTTGATCTGACGGCACTGATGGAGATGTGTGGGACACCTCATGGATGGTGGATGCTTGGTGACCCATCGGGGACTGAACACAACAGGAGTTAGGTGGGTGGGGAAAAGAAGATGGAGCTGAGTCCGGGGTATGTGATTTGCCTTTGAGCTGACCACAGGAAAGTAACCAGGAGATGACTCCCAAGTGGATCATAGAAAAAGAAGAAAAGTAATCAATTAACCAAAAGAAAGTCCTATGTCCACTAAGAAATTGACTAAAATTCTTGCTACAAACTGTAGGATTCTACCTGTTATTTCAGGAGAAAAAGAAGTAAATCCCATGCAAAATTCTCTCAGAGAAGGACCCCAATGAGTATTCCCCAAGTCACTGTATGATGTCAACTTAACCACTGTCTCATCATCTGGACAGGACAATACAAAGGGGCTTCAAAAACATCATGGGAAAATGGAATGAAAAGATAATGGGATTTCCAACTTTTTGAAACCCCCTTGTATAAGTGAAGAAATCGCAAGCAGTTCTATCTACAAAAATCTGCATAAAGATCCCAAATGGAATTATGCAATATCCAGAAAGTTATAATGACCAGTTGGGTATCTTCTGGAAGTGACATTTGGCTTAATCTTTGAAAAGCTGACAGTGCAGTTCAGCAAGTGACAAGAAATCACCTGATCAACTGCAATAAGAGCTGAAAAAGTTTATGATAAAATGCAGCATTGATTTGTCATGTAAAAATCTACCAGCACCTAGGAACAGAAGGAAAAGTCCTTAATCTGATAAGGGTTGTCCAACCAATAATTCTACTTATAGGTGTAAACCCAATAGAAATACAAAAATTAAACTGAAATCCACTGTTACAGAGTTGGTTCGGACTCATAGAGAGCCTATGAAACAGGGTAGGCCGGCTGCACTGCGGTTCTGAGGCGGTAAATATTTACCCAAGCAGACTGCATCATCCTTTTCCCCCAGAACAATTGGTGGGTATGAACTACCAACCTTTTGGTTAGCAGAGCAACACTTAACCCTCTGTGCCACCAGGACTTCAACAGAAATGCAATAGGGGTACAAATGTTAAGTGCCTTCAAGTAGATTCTGACCCATAGCAACCCTATAGGGCTTCCAAGGAGCAGCATTAATCCCAACAGGAAGAAACTGGAAACCCCCCTCTATCCATCAAGAGTAGGACCGAGTACAAAATGAAGTGTATTTCTACAATGAGAACTACAAAAGGGGACAGACGGAAAGCTATGAGCTAGAGGGGCTGAACTGGGCAAAGTAATGCAGACGAAAGCAGTCAGCCTCAACAGAACTTCAGAGACAGTCCAAGACATCAGTGTTCAGGGAATGGATGGGGCTGGGTGGTGTGTGGGCTTCTGGGCCTCAGTGGATGTGTGGGGTCACTTTAGAACCACTCATTAAGGGCATATTTATGTTCTGTATGATTCTGCATATCCCTTACATTTCACAACAAAAAGGTTGAAAACAAACACAAGCCAACAACAAAAGAACACCCCAGTTCCCCATCTCTTCCCCATGCGCTCCCTGCATTGAGCCTTGAAGGTCAGCCTTAGTGCCAGGGATCCTCTGCATGTGGGTGGTCAGTGGCCCTGACCCTGGACCTGCCTGTTGAGTCTAGGAGAAGAGACCAAGCTAAGGGGTCGAATCTGTCCAGGAATATGCTTGGAGGAGACGCTGGCCCAGAGCACCTGCCCCAGGTGTGCGGACAGCCGGCCACTACTAGATGGGATCACACATTCACCAAGAACTCCGGCCACATCGCGGGCACACGCTCCGCACCAGGGACGCAGGCAACGCGTCCCCCTGCGCTCGTCCACCCCACTCCCGCCCCAAGTAGAGACAGGCTAAGAATCACAAGATAAACATAAAGGATCACGGATGACCAGCTACTAGGACGAGAACAGAACGGGAAGGGGAGGAGCACTGGGCTGAGTTAGTGCTCAGGGAAGGACGCCGGGCGCACGCAGCTCAGGAGCCGAGGCTCTGAGGGGTGGGGCGGGCGAGGGCGCCAGGCGAGGAGGCGGGGGGTGGGGGCACTTCATCCTGGCCCGCGCCGCAGCAGTACCAGTTGGGTCAGACCCACAGAACGGGAGGCGGAGCGGGCGCCACCACGGCCAGCTAGCCCCGCCGCTGCCCTCACACACCGAAAAGCGGGAGAGGCGGAGGGGAGGACGGAACCCGGGGTCGATCTTGCATACCCTGCAGCCGAGCAAGCCAGGCTAAATCTCCACCCCGCCCGCAGGAGACCCAGCCCTACGGACTGCCCCGCCCCGAGGGTCTGCTTTGATCCAAACGGAAATTCCCACTCCTTGGACCCAGAGCGACGTCCGTTTGATGTCACCCGACGTTTCCATGGCAACAGAGCTGGGACTAAGAAGATGCGTCTTCAGGAAGAAACAGAGCCTGGGGGACTTGGGGGGGTTGTCAACTCTCGGCGTCTGGTACCCGCTCCCGCCCCCCCCATTCCCCTGGCAGAATGGAGGGGTCTGGGCTGTGTATCCAGGGACCCTTCCCTTCATTCGACTGCGCTCTTCACTCGACACAGACCTCGGTGGAGCTGGGGGTCGTTCTACTCCTCCGGCCGCCCCCTCCCACCACGCCCGCTGTTAAGATCTTGGCTCCAGATGGTCTCCTGACTCCGAGCCGCTGTCCAGAGGGTGGCGGGGCATAGGCTGCTCTGAGACTTGTCACATACATTGTCCCGGGACGCTGCGTCACGATGGGCAGAGAGGTGTGCGCTGTCGCCCGGGCGTCGGGGTGCGTGTGACTGCGGACGGACGTGAGCGCCTGCGGGCTCCATTGAAAACCCAGCGGAGCCTGGGAGCCAGACCCCGCCGAAGCCCGTCCCCGCCCCCCAAGTCCTGGG